ATCTGGGAAAGACTGAAGGTGGGAGAAGGGGATGACAGAGGATGAGATGGTTGGATGGCATCACTGACTCAATGGATATGAGTTTGAGTAAACTCCGGGAATTGGTGATGGACAGGGAGGCCCGGTGTGCTGCAGCCCATGGGGTCAAAAAGAGCTAGACACGACTGAGCAACTGAACTGAACTGAACTAAACCAGAGATATCAAAAGCAGAATAATATTTCAAGAAAGTCAAAGAAAACTGTGAGCCAAGGATTTTATGTCCAGTCCAAGTTGTCATTCAAGTGGCAAGACTCCAGAAAAACAGCTTGGAATGTGCAAGATCTTGGGGAATATTGTACATATGAGCACAGCTAAACAGAGAAAGAAACACAGTAAATATAATGATACACAAGTAATTATGGACTAATTTCGAGCATATACTAATGAGTGAAAAGAGCAAATTACAGCAAAAGTATATACAATGTGCTTTTTATAAGAATGAGGAAATGGGAATACATACATATAAGCATATAGTTGCTGTTGCTGTTTAGTGGCTAAGTAGTGGCTAACTCTTTGGCAACCCCATGGACTGAAGCCCACCAAGCCCCTCTGTCCATGGGATTTTCTAGGCAAGAATACTTGAATGGGTAGCCATTCCCTTCTCCAGGGGATCTTCCTGACCTGGGGATCAAATCGAGGTCTCCCACATTGCAGGCTTATTCTTTACCATCTGAGTCACCAGGATATATTCTTAATCTTACGAAAAGCACAGGAAGTACAAACAAGAAATTAATAAAATTTGCTATCTACAAGAAATAGAGACTAGCTAGAAAGGAAGGGAGTAACACCTCTCTGAGAACAACACAGTATATAATATTTTGACTTCTGGAAACATGTTAACCTTATGGATATTCAAACATAATTAAATCAACAAGAATGGAAACAAAGGCACCTAAAATTAAATATGAAGTGAAGTGAAGTGAAGTGAAAGTCGTTCAGTAGTGTCCAATTCTTTGCAACCACATGGACTATACAGCCCATGGAATTCTCCAGGCCAGAATACTGGAGAGGGTAGCCTTTTCCTTTTCCAGGGGATCTTCCCAACCTAGGGATCGAACCCAGGTCTCCCACATTGTAGGCGGATTCTTTACCAGCTGTGCCACAAGGGAAGCCCATAAATGGGAACAAATGAATGTGGCTATCTTTCAAATGATTAAACTACACCCAAGGGGGAAAAACTGCAAATAAATCTTGAAGTCTTTTAATTAAGTCTGTTTTCAAAAGATACAGTTGTAGTGATTTTGGAACTATTTTATGTATATTATGATTGAGCAAATGGGTAAACATATTAGTGCTACAGGAGTCTGGATTCTCACTTTACATAAATAAAAATATGAAATGGAGGAGAACAAGGAAGAACTCTGTGGTTTGGATTGAAATTGGAGGCATCAGTATGACTCATATGTTCTTAAAACTATCTATCTATGTACTAACCTCCCTCCCTCTATTTATCTGTCTGATCTAGGACTAAAAGTTCCTAGAAGTAATAAAATTCCAGAGAAAATGAGTACATCATATGTCCAGACCTTGACTCCTAAATACCATTCTCCTTTAAAATGAGATACAGTAATCTGAAGAAATGGCTGATTCTGGGAGTGGGACAGGGAAGGTATAAGATGACCCTGAAACATGTTTATCAGAAAATGAGGACATGCTCAGGGAAAAGAAAAAAAGTATGTCGAAAGGACCCAGAAATCAGCTTGAAAGAGGACTCTCTGGACAAATCTGGCACAATCTGAGTGACAAAGTAAATAAGAAAAGTAACTGATAATACTCTGTTCATGAGTCTTTGCTCACAGTAAAAAGAAAAGTAAAATAAGATGGGCTTTTCTTTAGAGTAGAATGCACATCCGTGTCTGACTCTTAAAGACCCTCTAGACTGTAACCCATCAGGCTCCTCTGTACATGGGATTTCCCAGGCAAGAATACCGTGGGAGTGGGTTGCCAATTCTTATTCCAGGTGATCTTCCTGACCCAGGGATTGAACTCACATTTCCTGCATTGGCTGGTGGATTCTTTACTCACCACTGAGCCAACAGATCATACACCTTCCCAGAAACATGAAACCTGGGACCTTATAGTAGAACTCTGGCTCCTAAATACAGGGGAGTAGTAAAGCTGGAAAAATCTCATTTTTTCAATCATCAGGCAAGAATTATCAATGGATCATGGGGCACCAACCTTCAAAGGCTGTGTTTAGAATTTTAAACAGATATAGTCTTTGTGGGTGGTAGACAAGTTTGTGAGAAGAAAAATAAAATGGTATTGGGGAGTATACTAAAAGAAATTTAAGCTAGGAATGACACGCTGGACAGTTCATAGGAAAAGGTGGCAACACAGATAGAGGAATAATGAAATAAAGACTGAATCAGGGCCTGAGAGATTGTGACAAATAAATGAATCGACCCCTGACGAGGTCCGAGGGAAACAAAGTCCATCCATCTTACTCTTCTCTTCATACATCCACGCCTGCTTTCTCCCTCCCAGGGTTACAGATTCCATATATATCAAGAAGAGCCCATAAACAGGCTACAGACAGTGCAACCATGTATGTGTCCTTGTGGTAGATATAACATACTTCATGTCATTTTTTTAAACTAAATTTAAATTTATACTGGATTTTACCTTCTCTCAGGACAATGCTAATTTTCTGTGACAATCCAAGTAAATTTGGAAAGAAAAAGGCTGAAGAAGGCTACATAAACAGAAGAAACTAATTCTAAATGTGTGGGATGCTCTTCTCATTTTATTTTTACACTATATATATTTTTTAAATCAATCTATTAGAATCTGTAGTTCTAACTGTATTTGGCATACAGTCAATTCAAAGAAACAGTACAAGGGCCAGAAGGCAAGGGCTATAAGTACCGTTCAGCTGGGAAGTGGAGAGAGAACAAACCTAAGGAGCCCAGAGTTGCTACATTGACAGGTTTCTTTAGCACTTAACCAATGAATTCTTACATTTACTTCCTTTTAGACAGTTATAAAGAATATCATTAACTTTACTGAATATTATTAGTGTACAAAGCAATACATATGTGTATATATGTGATATTATGCTATGTATTCATAATGTTGTTAATAGTTCACAGTCAGTGGGTCAATTTTTATAATGCTAAGCTACACAGTTTGAGTAACTGAAGTAAAATGCATTAAAATCATCTACTTCCACTACCTGTTATATTAATGCTGGCTCTCTGATCCCTAAAATGCATTATCTCTGAAACACATTTGATGTATATGACATATAAAAATTAAATATAACTTAGAGTCAAGAATGGGAAATAATAATTTAACAAACCATTACTCCTGACTAAAATTAATACAAGTGGCTATACTTCATTAAAGATTTAAAAATACCTATAGTTGAAGAACTCTGTTCAGATGAAATCTTATTTTAAAAGTTTAAAAGTATACAAAATAACTAAAAACGGGCACTGTTCTGGCTAAAGTGGGCAATGGAAGTCTGGAGTGCTATTTGCCACGGGGAGATAAGCTGGCAGCCCAGGGCAGTTAGAAAACCGCCGCAGCACAAGGTTACAAGTCGAGTGTAAAGGCAAGACACTGTCACTGAAGATAAACTCACATCAGTAAGTATGAAAAAATATAAAATTTAAACAAAGGAAGAATCTAACTTGTTTACTGATGAATATGAATCACATAAGTATAAAGTCTTTTTATTAAATAATAATTTACAAGAGATTGGCACTACCTTAGCTGTTCTTCCTTGTTATAAGCTGCCAACTGATACTGGCATTAGATGTTTCAGATTAATATTTTTATTGTGATGCCCATATGTATCTCCTAAATATATGCTGTACTCTTAAGTGAGAAATGACGATTCAAGAAATAATTTTTAATAATGAGAATAACAATGTTATTTATTTACTTCTAATCTGGAAATATATACATAGTTCAGTTTTTCTAACTTGGGTTATTGTGTTCTGCTTCTAATAATTAATCTGTAATTTTTTTCTAAACCTGTCATTTTTAGCATGATTTATCACTTTAAAAAGTTTAGATTTCCTCAGTTTCCTTAGTTATTGAAAGAAAAACCAAAAATCCTTTCAACTCTAAAACTGCTATAAATAAAAATGGAGCTGCTCCTATTTGCTCTTGTGTGAGCAGAACAAAAGCACATTAATAGTTAACAAAGCTACAATATGATACACGAATGAAGTCTTGCATTAAAAAAGTACTTAGATTCTATTTACAAAAGAATCTCTATCATTAATTATTCAACATTTGGATCTGACCAGAAACCAGAGCATGACTTTATAATGCTCTGTTTAAATGAACTACTTAATGTTGTAATGAACAATCAATGTGGTGAGCTCAATGAATTTTGGACCTGGTATAATACAGCAGTTTTCCAACTTTTTGATCAATGGACAGATTTTAATGTTAAGTCAGTTGGAATTTCACTGGAGCTTTAAAAATGTTTACTTAAACTGAAAATTTTGCATCTGAATTATTTTATATTCTAAAACTGAATGTAGTTTAAACCAATGCATTATTCATAAAGCAAAGACATTAGGAAAAACAAAGCTGTGCGCTTCTTTCAAAGCCGTTAAATTGCTAAAACATACCACATTTATGCATGCAATATTTGATTGTTTTTTCCTTAAAACACAAGCTTGTTTTTGTCAGATCAAGATATGCCAAAAATTCTACACCAAACATTTTTGTTTATAATTAAAGCAATCATCAATCCAAGGATTGTCATCCATTTTATTTCATCTCTACATCAAAAAAAAAAAAGTAATTTAAAAAATTTTAATTCCCTTGAAATGATAAGATAAATGAAAATGTAAGTGCCTTCACATAATAACAGTAAGCTGACCCTTTGGGAAATGGTTGACTTTCTCAATACAAGGTATTCAAAGCTCATTCAAAAGTGTTCATTTAGAATGCAGATATCAAAGATGATGCAAATGTTCAAGAGAAAATTAGAACTTACCAGATGTTCTAATCCAGCTTTGATGTTTCCAGATTCCCTAAAATAGAAGAATAAAAGTTTAAAATAGTTGTTAAATCCTCGTCTGCTATAATTTGTTTACCTCGAAAATATTTTACAAACCCCTTTAATTTTTTATATCTTTCCTAATGCTCATAATAACCCCATTTTTAAGGACAAAACAATTTCCTTAGGAACAGAAAATTTATTTATATCTGACAGTAGTATTAATCCTAAAATTTATATCTGTCTAGTAAAATATTTCAGATTTTTCAAAGTCAGTAGAGAACAAAAAAAAAAATCAAACATATTATCATTTTACTATTTGTACACTATATTTTACATTAGCTTTCTCATTAGTTTATTTTTTAACATTTATTACAAAAATGTTCAAACATACAGATTCTATCTACCATCTACAGTCTACAATTGACATTTTACTATATTTGCTTTATCAATAGGTGCATTTTTATACAAAGAATATGCACAAAAAGAATATTTATCAGTTCATAGCTAAGAAACTAAATCTTAAATTTTTTCCTGCCATTAATTTTATCAACTTAGTGCCCACTATAAATCAGAACCTAAAATAATATTGAAAAAATAATCACCAATGAAAACACAAACATCAAATATCACAATATATATTTTAAGTATTTAATTTCTTGCTTTTCACTTAAAAAAAAACAGTGCTGATAAGACAAAATACAAATAACTGTACAAGTAGCAAAGATAATTTAAATACACATTTGATGAAATATGGCAATAGTTGGATGTTTTTCCTGATTTCAGTTAATGCTAATCTATTAGTGAGAAATGGACTTTCCCTATTCTCACTCTGATCAAGCAGTATTTTAATTCCATTATTAACACCACACCTTATTTGCTTTGACACAAAATTATACTTCTACCACAATGCAGAAAATAATTATGGAACATCTGACAACAGTACTGCATTCATAATGTTTAATCTTTTCCCCACACCTATTTTTCTCTGAAGGGGTCCCAATGTTATTTCTTTTCTCTTTATTTTGTCTCCAATTTTTTTTTTTTTGCCAAAAATATATTTACTTCTGTTTCCTTTGTCTTGTTGTATAATCTTCTTTCAAATTTCCCTATCATTTCCCTTTGGATCAACTGCTTGAAAACTACACTAGTGGCTTCCAATGTTCCCTCTCACTGCCCAGTCTGGCATCTTGAGTATGAATTCCACTGTCTACTGATTAGTACTCCTCTTTAGCCATTCTCTTTTCTGCTTCTGACAATGCTATATAATCATCATTTAAAAATTTAAGAGTTTCTGAAACTAATTCTCTGGATGCACCTCTAATGACAAGTGACAGAAATAGAATGCAACAAGGTGTGCCACAGCAGGCCAGAAACTACATAATTATTTTTACCTTTATTATTATAAGATTAACATATTTATTAGAGCTGGAAGTCTTAATGAATTTTTAAGTGTGCACAAGAAAGTTTTTATATAACCATTTGTGTAATTTAAAATTTAAACAAAAATAATAATACACACAGTAAAACATCTGACAGTGTAATATGTTTGTATGTGTGTGTGTGTATACATACTACAACAAAATTAAATCTTCCTATCACTCACCCTATCACCTAGTTCTCAACCACTGATATTAGCTATTTATTTCTCCTTCCAAAGACAGCCTACGCATGTGTGTGCATACTTCTGTGTGTGTCTGTGTACTTCTCCTTTTTTCTTTTCATCCCAAACAGAAGCATACCATACATATTGCTTTGTTTCTAAACTCAGCAATCTACGTTAGAGTGAAGTATATTTATACTATATAATTCACATCTGCTTCATTTTTCCCCATGGGTACATTGTCACACCATGGTTCTTATTGGAAAATAATGCAGTATAAGAGAACAAAAATGCTCAGATTCAACGTAGAAGTCCATAATTTATTATCTGAAACCACTGAGGCTAGACATGTTTCATCAGAATATTTTGGACTTTTCTGGTACTCTGTTCTGGTATAAGGATGTGCTTTACACTTATTGGATTTATGAATGTTTTATCTACTATTTGAAAGGTTCAAAAGGATCAGCTATACTAAATTTTTAACTGGTATTTATGTTTAAGCCAGTTTAGTCAAATTCGGCATTGTTTATATATTCAAGTTTTTTTCAATGTTTTGTTTAATATGAATTTAATAAATTAAGCACTAAAGTTTTAAAAAAATAAGAAAAAGAATATTTTGGGTTTTAAGAAAAGTAATAAGGTACATACGGTGTATGTCATAAAACACAGATAGCAATACTTCAAGCAACATCTCATCATCATACATATTAACAATTCTGAAAGAAAAATATGAATGTCCACACAAAGAGGGATAAACAAAGATGATAAACAGCTTCATTTAAGGGTAGGTTTTGCTGTCAACTGACTTTATCACAAACTTAGGAAAAACCTCTCAGTTTTCTGAGTTATTTGTATTTTGGAATCAAGGATAAGAAATTATTCTTTAAAAAAGAAAGAAAGAAAAAAAAAGAAAGAAAGACTGACTAGCTATTGCTTCATTATGTTTCCAAGGAATTCCTTAAATTAAATGATTTTAGGAGATACACATTTGGAATGACACGCCTGAAAGAAAACTAAGCATCTTCCTTGATACATGTCCCTTTTCTTTGCTTCCAAATATAAACAAATATAATCAGCCACAAGGTCCTGGCTATCCAATATCCTTAATTATCATGTAGTGTTAACCACTTCTTTCTATCTTCACAACTATGTCTTATTTTAGGCCATCATCTTTTCTCTCTCAGATTATTGCAAAGCTTAATGGGTCTCAATGACCCCTGCCTTGCCCTATGTCGATTCAATCTCCGTAAGAGAGCAAGATCTTTGTAAAATTAAGCTTGATCATGTCAATTCTCTTCTTAAAATCCATGGCATACTACTGTACTCCAGTTTAAGTCCCTCTGGTATTTGTCAAAGCTATACCACATGGAAAGTGGTAGCAAATACCATAACAAACTACAATCTAAACAAAACCTCCTATGGAGAAACACCTTTTTCTCACAAATGAAGTAATGAACTCTTCCCATGTGTTCACATCACAAAATTCCCATACTTTGGACTGTAGCCCACCAGGCACCTCTGTCCATGGCATTTTTCAGGCACGAATACTAGAGTGGGTTGCCATTTCCTACTCGAGGGAATCTTCCCAACCCAGTGATCAAATCCACATCTCTTGCATCTCCTGCACTGGTGGGCAGATTCTTCATCACTGCACCACCTGGGAAGGCCCCTGGGTAGATCTACCCAGCCCCATAACACTCAAAGAACCAAGGCATCTGTAACAGTGAGTGGTTGTTTGGGAGTTTGTGTATGTGTGTGGTGGATAGTGGGCTGTGGTTTTGCTTTGCTTTGTTTTGGGCTGTTTTTTAAAAAGCAGAAGGACACTATGGGGAAAAAGTGGTTGATTGAGGCCACAGCAGACCAATTAATCTGGATAAGCACAAACTAGAGCCTAGACTTTTACCCCTACCCTTAGATTAAAATTACTAGCCAAGGCAGCTGAATGTTGCAAGGAAATAAAAGAGAAATCCACAAGGCAAATGTTTAAGAACTCTGAGGTGTTCTTAAAAATAACAGAATAACAACAAAGAAAGTAACTTCATCCAGAGAAAACAGATTGAGTAGGAATATAAGTATAATAACATATTCAAAGATAGGGGAAGATTTTTAGAAATATGAAAAATGGTTACAAAAAATAATCAATATAAGATAATGAGTATTAGAAATACAATAGTTTGAAATAAGCAACCCAGAGGATGAACTGAATGCACAATAACTACAGACCAGAATGAATTAGTGAGCTAGAACCCTGGGAAAGAACTCTCCTAGAAGGCCATAGGAAAGGCATGAAAGAACAAACGAGATAAAATTAAGTACAGGCGTAGAAGTACGAACATCAATAAGAATCCTAGAAGGAAAGCAAAGACAAAATAAAAGGAAATAAGTATTTGAAGAAACAGTGACACAAATTTCCTAGATATAGAAATACTCAAGTCTTAGACTGAAAGGGTACATACAGCAGTGAACAGGAGAATTAAAGAAAAATCACAGCAAAGTAGTATATAAAGATAATTAAGGCTATACTATTATAGATCAAGAGAAAAGTTTAAGAGTTTCCAGAAAGAAAAAGCACACTCCTCTATAAAAGATTAGCACTGACATCAGATTACTTAACACTAATGCAGACAGTGGACTGTAAGCTTCCAAGAGAAAGTGAATAAAAAAGCTGTGAACCTATAATCTATATTCAACAAATAAACTATTATTTAAATTAAAGGAAAAATAAAGAAATATTCAGCATACAAAGTCTTAGGAAATTCACTATACAAAGACATATGAAAAAAGTTCTGAGGAATACAATAAGAAGAGAAAAAAATTCAGGAAGAAGCAAGCAAGCAAAATAAGGCAAGTAAAGTCTGGTATGGGACATAGTAATCACTGTAATATTAGTAATCAGTGACTAAAAAGAAAACTAAAGAAAGGTCATCATAACACAAATACCAGAGAAGATTCTTAGATTGGGTATGAAACAAATCTAGGGATGTGTGATTTACAAGAGACACATGAGACAAAAAGGATGCAGAACAGTTTCCAAAAAAGAGATAAGACATAACCAGGCAAACACAAACCAAAAGAAAGTTGGGTTAGTGACTTTAATGACAAAATACATTTAAGTCACTTTGTGTGCAGTTGGTAAAGAATCCACCTGCAGTGCAGGAGGCCACCTGCAATGAGGAGACCTGGTTCGATTCCTAGGTTGGGAAGATCCCCTAGAGAAGGAAATGGCAACCCACTCCAATATTCTTGTCTGGGAAATCCCATGGACAGAGGAGCTTCACAGGCTACACAGTCTATGGGGTCGCAAGAGTTGGACAGAACTTAGCGCCCAACCACCACCCCTCCATATATGTATACATATATTTGACATGTATATATTTTGGTATATACACATGTGTATATACATACACACACACACACACTGAAGAAAGCCA